GGCTCCGGGGACACCGGGGGGGCTCCGGGGACACCGGGGGGGCTCCGGGGACACCGGGGGACTCTGGGGACATCCCGGGGGCTGTGGCGACCCTTGGGGGGGGCTCCGGGGACACCGGGGGGGATGTGGGGACATCCCGGGGGGGCTGTGGGGACATCCCGGGGGGGCTCCGGGGACACCGGAGGGGCTGCGGGGACCCTAACCCCGTTCCGTTCCCGTTCGGTTCCCCCCCCGGGGACCCCCCCAAACCGCCCCTCTCTCCCGTTCCCGGTCCCGTTCCCATTGCCGTTCCGTTCCCGCCCGGTTCCCGGTGCCCCAGGCAGACCCCGGGGGGCTGCGGGGACCCTAACCCCGTTCCGTTCCGGTTCGGTTCCCGTTCCCGGTGCCGTTCCCGGTGCCGTTCCCGGTCCCGTTCCCATCCTCGTTCCGGTTCCCGTTCCCGGTGCCGTTCCCGGTGCCGTTCCCAGGCGGACCCCGACGCTGATCGCGGTCCTGGCGGTCGGGGCCGTTTTCCTCTCGTGCTCGCTCGTGCTGCTGGCGCTGCTCTACTGGAGGGGAAAGAAGATCCAGAAGAAACGGGCCATGAGGCGGTACCTGGAGCGGGGAGAGGTCAGAGCCGGGCCGAACCGGGACCGGCACCGGGAGCGCGGGGAGGGACCGGGAGCGGCACCGGGACCGGGAGCGGCACCAGCACCAGGACCGGGACCGGCCCCGGGAGCGCGGGGAGGGACCGGGAGCGGCACCGGGACCGGGAGCGGCACCAGCACCAGGACCGGGACCGGCCCCGGGAGCGCGGGGAGGGACCGGGAGCGGCACCGGGACCGGGAGTGGCATCGGGACCGGCACCGGGAGCGGCACCCGGAGCGGCTCCGGGAAGGGCGGGGAGGGATCGGGAGCGGCACTGGGACCGGCACCAGGAGCGGTACCGGGAGTGGCACCGGCACTGGCACCGGGAGCGCGGGGAGGGACCGGGAGCGGCACCGGCACCGGGAATGGCACCGGCCCCGGGAGCGCGGGGAGGGACCGGGAGCGGCCCCGGGACCGGGAGCGGCCCCGGGAACGCGGGGAGGGGCCCCGGGAGCGGCACCGGGAGGTCGGGGAGAGGCACCGGGAGGAGCCCCGGGAACGGCCCCGGGAGCGGGAGCGGCCCTGGGAGCACGGGGAGGGGCCCCGGGAGTGGCAGCGGGAGGTCGGGGAGGGGCCCCGGGAGAGGCCCGGTGCGGGGTCCTGCCGGGGTGTCCGGCCCTCGCCAGCCCCGTCCCCATCTCTGCTCCTGGGCCAGTCCCACTCCATCCTCATCCCCATCCTCATCCACATCTTCTTCATCCTCATCCCCGTTCCCTTTCCCTGATCCCGATCCCATTCACCTTCCCGGTCCCC